GCCGGCGCTGCCGGAGCGCTGCCCCTTGGAGAAGAGCACGGACACGGGGTTGGTGTTCTCCTGGCCGGCCCACATGGGCGCCCCCGACTCGGGCACGCCGTAGTAGAGATCTTGCTTGTTGACGCCGTAGTTGGGGAAGAGGTAACCGTAGTTGAAGTCGTTTTGGTCGTTGAGGCGCGGCGTCTCGTAGACGGGCTCCACGGAGCAGTCGCCGATGCAGCCCAGGCTGTTCTGCCGGAAGGTGGAGAGGGGCTTGCAGCCCGGCGCCGGCGTGTGCACCCGCCAGGCCTCCGAGTAGCGGTTCTCCATGCCGGAGTCGGGGCTGCTGGACAGGAAGTCGTTCTCGTTGTTGTACTCCAGGATCTTGCCCGTCCGCACGGCGATGTGGGTCTCGATCTCCTCGCGCGCGCGCTCCACGTTGCCCGGCGCCCCGGTGATCTCGAACACGGGGTCCCGGTCCCGGCTGGGCGTGATGATGTAGGTGTTGGTCTGCTGCTGGATGCGCTTGATGGTGGCTCCCTTGGGGCCCACCACCAGGCCCACCACGCGGTAGGGCACCCGCACGCGGATGGTCACCTGGCCCGGCAAGGTGGGCGCGCTGCCGAAGGTGGTGCCGGCCTTGTTGCGCGACGCGCGGATCATGGAGAAGTGCTCGGCCGCGGAGATGATCTCCCGCCGGGCCATGGCCACGTCCTCCCGCCGCCCCGTCACCATGAAGACCGGCTCCTCGCCCCGCACCGGCGTCTTGATGTACGTGTTGGTCTTGGCCCGCAGCGCCTTGATCTTGCAGCCTTGCAGAGCGGGAGAGAGGGGAGAAGGAAGGCGGGGAGGTTAGAGCAGGGGGGCCGCTCCCGCCGCCCGCCCGCCCCGCGGACCCCCGCGTCACCAGGAGGGACCCCAAGCCTGGCAAGCGGAGCCCGCGCTGCCCCGAGGGAAAGGCTCCCGGAGGTGCCAGTCCGGCAAGGGGCCGGCTCCGAGGAAATCTCCCTCCTTGCCGCCCCGCGGGGACGTCCCGAGGGAGACGCCGCCCCTCTGGAGCGGCCAGYGTGCCCCGCACTGCCCCTCCAGAGCCCCCAGCGCCCCCAGAGCCGCTCGGAGCCTCCCCCTTCTTCCCGCCCGCCGCGGGTCCTGGCCACGCCGGCACCGCGGTGGCAGGAGCGAGGCCCGGGGGGTCGGTGCCGCAGGCGGCCGTGGCCACCCGGAGCCCCCGCCACACGGCCCGGGATGGGAAGGGAAGGGAAGGGAAGGGAAGGGAAGGGAAGGGAAGGGAAGGGAAGGGAAGGGAAGGGAAGGGAAGGGAAAGGAATCCGCCCCACATCGAAGCAGGGGGATCCTCCGTGGGCTTCTCGCTCCAGGACGCCACCCTGCCGCTCGCCCTGCTCCTTGCGGCTCACAAAACAGCTTCTGCTCTTCCAAAAAAGGCAAGATACTTTTCCGTGTGCCTCGGCTTCCGATTTTCTTTTTTTCTTTTGGAAAAGAGGGATTTTGCAGCCAGAAATGCGACACYGGGCTCCTAGGTGGCACTAGGATGTCCCCAAGGGATCCTTACAGATATGGTGCGTGGCTTCCTAAACCTTCTCCCATTGCTCCCAGCACCGAGCTCGTGCTCAGGCCGGGGCATCTTTGTCGGGAAGAGGCCACCTGGCTCCAAGCTCGGGTCTCCAGCAAAACTCTGGAATGTGATTGCCCAGGGCACCGYGCTTCTGCCAGGCGCCGGGATAAGGGGAGCCTTGTCCCGGTTGGCCAAGCGTTGTGCTGTCCGTGGCYGGACGGCCGAGCCCTGCCGCTCCTCTGCGCTGCCCGAGCTCCGAGAGCAGCCCTCTCCCTGCGTCCTCCCTAAACCTGCGCCCCGAGCCGGGCTTTGCCCCCGGGCACATCGCAGGTGCCCAAAGAGAATGGCTAGGCGAAAGTCACAGGATCAAGGCTCACCCAGAGGAATGGGATGAACCCTGAAGGAAGGCGGGATAGAGCCTAAGGAGTGACCTAGGCCACCGCGCAGGCCTGGCTCTGTCCCCTGCCCGTCCTGGCAGACCTGTGCCCTGCCCTGTGGCACTTGCTCCAAGGAGGGGATTCCATCCCAGGCAGACGCCGTGAGATGCCACCGTTCCCCAGGGACAGCAGGAAAGGTTTGCACGGAAGGAGCCAGCATTGAGCACCCCCGCTGGGAATGGCTTCCGTGTGTCACCGGGAGCAGGGTGACGAACCCGTCCCCAGCGGCAGCACGAGGAGCTGGATTTGGGCTGCATTCAGGTGTCGCCTTTCCCAAGGCACGGGGACACCGGACACAGACGGGGCAACGGACACGAGCCGGAGCGGCGGGAAGCACCACGGTGGTGGCACCAAGGGCTGKGCCAGCGGAGCGGGGACGGAGGGCTGGGGCTCCACGCTGGAGACACACGGAAAGGAGCAGTGACAAGGAAGCCACGGGGACGAGGGCCAGTGGAACACGGGYGGGAGAGGGCGTTTGGAGCGGGAAAGGTGCTGGAAATCATGGGAGAAGCCGTCGAGATCCCTCAGAGCCAGGGGAGGAACCGGGCGAGGGGGGAGGCAGGAGGAGAGACCCCCGGGAGGCCCGAGGGAGCTGGAGCGAGGCTGGAGCCGGAGCGAGGCCGGAGCTGGAGCGAGGCCGGCGCGAGAGGGGGAGGGAAGATGCGGGAAGGGACAAAAGGACGCGTGGAGCAGCCGATGGAGCGAGAGGGAGGAGAAGGAGGAGGAGGAGGAGGAGGATCTCCTGCAGACAGGAACAGCAGCTTTGCCCAGATGGACAGAGGGGGACCCTGCGCTTCAGCACGGGAGAAAACAGGGAGAAAACAGGGAGAAAACAGGGAGAAAACAGCGGAGCGGCTGGGCAGCCTCAACCCGGGCGGCTCCACCAGCTCCCAGGGCAGCCGCGTGTCTCCCAGCCCCTCAGCCAGGCCGGGGCTGTGGATCCGACCGCCGCGCTGCGCACCAGGCTGTGCCCGGACGGGGATGCCGGAATGCCGGAGCGCCGCGGGACGAGGCCCCTCGCAGCCGCCCAGCGCAGCAGCACCGCCCTAGCGGCTCCTTTTTTCCCGTGAAATTGGCCCTTTATGCTTATTTCAACACAAGGTTTTCCTCGTGCGGGAATTTGGAAGCGACGCGCAGCAAGCTGCATTGCTCGGTGCAGCGTTAAAAGGGGAGAGAACTGCTTAGTGGGTGGTGGTAAAAAGGGAAAACTAGGAGAAAAGGACCTGTAGGAACTATAAGAAAACACAACTTTGCTGTAGTGCTCCGCTCTTTACGCTCACACACCACTAATTGATCCCTGGCAGACCCCGGCCAGGTAGATYTTTATATTAGGGAGAGAATTAAGCCCCTTCTTCTTGTGTTTCCACCACGTAACTACTATTATGCTATTTTTTTCCCCCAATAACACAGATCTCAAAGCATTTTGCAAAGGAGGCCGGTAGGGATATTTCCTCGCCCCATCCCCTTCTTCTTTTAGCTCCGTTGAACTCCGTGCCACCGGCCTCTGTAAAYGCATCCGCACGCCGGCAGAGCGACCTCGAGCTCCGCCGCTCCCCCGGGCGTGGGGGGAAATCGGGGGAGATTCGAATGCAGGCAGCCAAATTCGCCCGTTTTTTACCCAGGCACTAGGTGTGAACAAGGGTTTTTCCCTTTCTCCTTTATTTCGAGGCTCCTTCACACTGCACCAGTATAAATTACACCTCTAAATACCCCACTTAAGACATTTTGACATTGCTGGTGTGGTAGAAAAGAGCCTGGGGGCAAATTAGGACTCAGTCCTTTTTTTTTCTTCTTTCTTTCTTTTTCTGTGCTAGTCATAAAATTAAAAAGGACCATAAAATAAACAACCATCAAATCTCTCCGGGAAGGTGGGGCATTCCTCTCCCATTTAAGATGAAAGCCACGCTAAAAGACAAGCACACAAAGAACATCGCAAACAAACCCCGCTGAATATCTGGGGTGGGGGGAAATTTTGCTGCATTGAATATCTGATGAAAGGGGTGTCAAAAAAAAAAAAAAAAACCCAAAACACGAATACACACAAAAGGACCACAAACAAACAGCTAAATCCCTGGCACGGAGTTTTTATTGTGCGGAGAACGGGGTTTTATTGTACGGAGGATGCAAGTTGTGTTTGCAAGAAAGGAGGGCGGGGGGAAAGCAGTGCGCCATGGAAAGAAGCCGCCACTTTGGGGCAGCGGTTTTGGCTTTCCCACGTAGTGACGAAAGTTGTTTTGGGGGGAAAAAAGCAAAAAGCAGCCCCCTCCCGCCGCACACACACACACAAAGCAGCAGCCCGCGGCGGGGCGGGCGGCACGCGCCGAGCTCACGCGTGCGCGGGGCCGCCAGCCGCCCCGCAACCGGCGCGGCCGCCAGACAAAGGCAGGGCAGGGGGCGGGAGGCAGCGAGGCAGGGAGGCAGGGAGGCCGCCCGCCCTCGGGCGCTTCCCGCTGCCCTACATTCGGCGCCCGCGAGGCTCCTCGGGGCAGCCGGCGGCCGCATCCCATGCGCTGGGCTGCCTTCGCCCCTGAAAATTCCCTTTGTCTCCTCCCGGAGCCGCTCTCGCCTCCCAGCTCGGCTCCAAAGGGATCCCGCTGGAGTGGATCCCGCCTGGCGCTCCCCGCGCCCCAGCCTCAGTGCAGACGGCTCCACATTGGCACTTTCTAAGGATGCGAGGCCAAGCTCCCCTGCCCTCCCGGGTGGTGCCGGCGGCACCCGCACCTCTGCCGCGGCGCCCCGGGGGCCTCGCGCCAGCGTTGACGCCCAGCGAGCAGCATCGCGCTTCCCGCTCCTCCTGGGATGTGGGGCGGGAAGGTGCTGCGGCCGGCGCATTTTCTCAATGGAAAAGGACTATTATTAAACGTGGAGCGAGTTAGGAGCTACACAAAGAGCCCGAGCACCTGGGGCGAGCGGGGCCTCCTGCTATCTGGCTTCACCTTGCCAAGACAGAGAGATTTATGCGGAGCTCTCCTAGTGCACAAGCTCCTTCCCAGTGCCAAGGTTGGGAGATGCTCCATGGCGGGGTGTCACCGGGTGCAGGTGACAATGGAGGCCGCGTGGATGCGGAGAGCTAAACGGAGGCTCGCAGGGAAGGCAGCGGCAGAGGGACCGGCCACCTGGTCTCCAGCGCGCAGCCCACGCGCACAAAGGAACGCGCCCGCGCCGCCCGCCCTCCCACGAGGAGCGGATTGGAAACGGCCACAAAAGTCAATTCTGCACCTGATCCGCACCGAATCCGGGCGGTTTCTGGGGAAGAACCCGAAGGGTTCCTGTTGCTTTCGAAGTTTGCAGAGTGAGCGGCCAGCGCGCTACCCATCCGGGCAGCCTCCGCCCTGCCCCGCGTCCCATCCTCTGTCCGTACGGCTGCACCCTGCGTTGCGGGAAGCTTTTCCTTCCCAAGTCACCATCTCTTCACAAACCACCCTCCAAAACACTTGGTGTTTTGTTTTTGCACCCGGGCAAACTTGCCCGCGTCGCGGCGAGCACATGCGCGATCCTGGGAAGTGACTTGGAGGGAAAACGCCCACAGGTGGGCGATGGACACGAGAGCCCCGCGCGCCGCACGCGCCCGCATCGCTCCACGCCCAGGGAGCAGCCGCGCGCTCCACACCAGAGCTCCGGCCCCTCGTGCTCCCGGCTGGAGCTCGCGCCGTGCTCCGGCCAAGGGGGAAACAGCCCACGGGAGCGGCGGGACGGGCGCAGACAGCCCCGCTCCTCAGCCCGGCAGCAACGGGGGGACGCGTGGAGCTTGTCAGGACATCCTGGCCTCGTCCTGCCTTTCCCAGCTCGCTCCCTTTCCCTCCAGTTCCCACAGTCCTTGGCACACCCCAAAAGCCGCCCTCAGGGCTGCACTCTGGAAGCAGCAGCTCCGGGCAGCTGTGTGCCCACTTGCCACCCAGTTCCTCCATTTCCTCCTCCCAGTCACACCCCAGTTCCCCCTTTTCCTCCTCCCAGTCATACCCCCATCCCAGCAGCTGCAGATGCTCCGCTGGAATCCGCGCGCGCCCGGGAACTTCCCAACGCGCGCGGGGCGGACGCTCCCAGAGCTCCCGGCCACAGCAGCAGCCCCCAAGGCGGCCGAGCATCCCGCAATCCCCCGGGAGCCGCCTCCACAAGGAAACCTCCTGGCAAACAGCGCTCACAACCATCCCCATCCAAACACATGGGGATCGAGGTTAAGGAGTGCTGAAGCGGCTTGGCGCCCTCCTGGCAAAGCGAAGGGCGCTCCTGGAGCAGGTAAGCTGTTCCCACCAGGAGCAAATGGGCCTCGGATCCAGGCCTCCTACGTGTGTGCGGTTCTCCAAGTTACGCTTTCCAAGATGGGAAATGCTATTTTAAAAAGAAGATGAAGGCACCCGCTGGTTCATCAGGTCAGAAACACTTTAAGGTCCAAAAAAAGCCAACTGTGACTTCAATTAAAGCCTCGCAGTGGATTTTATTCCAGTATTTGACATTTTCCCCTTTCTTTTCCAAGGTGTTCTTCACAAGTACCCCTGGAAACACTCATTTCCTTGGGAAATGAGCCTGCAGCAGCCCCCCGGCAGCTCCAGCAAGGGGGTTGATGCCAAATCCGCAGCCTGGGGGCTCCGCTGCGCTCCCCGCACAGGCACCCTGGGGCGCACGGCCGCCCTGGGAAGGAGCCGCGTGTCCGGAGGGCTCCGCACCCRGCTCTGCCGGAGAGGAGACCCTCACGAGGTGCATTTCCAGGCAGACGCAGGTTCCACAGCCAGAAGCAAGGGCCGTGGCCGGGTGGGCGCTGCCAGAGCCAGGCCCAGGCCCCAGCCCTGCGATCCAGCCTGCTGGACCCGCTGAGCCTGGCGCGCTGCCCGGCCGGGGCTCCGGCCCGTGGGCGCGGGGGGGACCCTCCTCCCGCACCCCCGCRTCCCCACGCACACACAAACATGGTGGCAGCGCTCCAGCTCGGCACGCTCCGCTCCATCTGTCCGCGCCTGAGCCGCTGCCGCGTCGCCGGCGGATGCGAACACACCCCCTCGCCTCGACTTCGCCGGGGAGGAGACGCATCCCCGGCACGGCCCCACCGTCCCCCCGCCATGCGACAGGTCCCCAGCCGGGTCACACAAAGGGGACCCCAGGTCCCGAATCGCCGCCCTTTTCCTGTCCCGCGATGAGCCGAGGCCGGAGGCCGCCGCGGATGAGGCCCGGGCGGGAGCCGCCGGCCCTGCCGTCACCCCKCTCCGTTCCCAGGGGCCGGCAGCCAAGCGCAGCAGATGGGGACACAGGGTGGCTCTGCCGGGGGGACAGCACYGGAGCGCGCGCTCCCGCCGCCCGCGGCCCCCCAGGGCCCTGGTGCGCTCGGAGCGGAGCCGCGGGCGCGAGCGGAGCCGCCGGAGGCCCCATTGTTCCCGCAGCACGTTCCGGCGGAGCRGCGCGCGCGGCCATCCGGCTCCCGCTCGCCCCGCGCCCGCATCCGCCCCCGGAGCCCGCAGCACCCGCGGGCCCCCACACCCCTGCCAAAGTGCCAAACTCCCCGCGCCCAGCGGCGGCTCGGGATGCGGAGCCGCGGCCTGGCACCCTTCCCGAGCGGCAAGTTACTCGCTCAGAAAGAGAGGGGAAAAAAAAAAAACAAGGAAAAAAGCCACTTAGCCACATTATTATTACACACCCCCGGCAAAAAACTTCTCACCCTGCAATGGTGATGGGGGCCAGTGCCCGTGCCCTCCCCCAGCTCACCTCGCCCCCACCCGGGGCGCCGGCGGTAGGCGCGGGGTGACTTAAGAGTGGGTGTGGTGTGTGTATATATATATATATATATTTCTATATATATTTCTATATATATGTGATTTCTTCAAAGCCCTCCTTCATTCCAGCTCGCTCCGAGCGGGGCCGGAAAGGAGAACAAAAGCATCGCTGTGGCGGGGCGCGCCGGGGGGGCCCGCGCCGTGTCCCCCCTTGTCCCTCCACGCCCCCCGCGCCCGCAGCACCGCGGTGCCCGCGGCCCCGCGCAGCGCCGGGTCCCGCGGCCCAACCACACCCCCCCGCGCCGTTTTCCCCTCCCCGCCACCCAACAAAGGGGATTTTCCCCCCTCGGCGACGCCGAGTGTCGCCGGGGCGGAGGGGGGGACGAGCCCGGCTCTGCCTACTCTTTAACCCCCCCATTAAAAATAATTTGGGGGCGGGGGGGGTTAATAAATGTACATTTCGCGGCCAAGCGGCGGCACGGAGGGGGGGTCGGTGCCGCCGGGCGCGCACATTCCTATGGACCCCCCCGGCCGGGAAGCGGCGCACACCCCCTCCACGCCCCCCCCGAGCAGCCCGGGCCCCGGCGCCGCCGCCGCCTCCCGCTTTGTCCCCCGGCCGGCGGCGGGAGGCGGCGGGGGCGGCGGAGAGTGGGGGGTAACAAAGGGCGGCGGCGGCGGGGCAAGTTTGCGGGTGGGAGGGGGGGAAGTTTGCGGACCCCCCCCCGGCGGGGCGGTCCCCGGCGGCGCGCGGGGCGGCGGCGGCGGCTGCTGCGGCGGCGGCGGCGGCGGCGGCGGTGGCGGCGGCTGCTGCGGCGGCGGCGGCGGCTGCTGCGGCGGCGGCGGCGGCGGGTTGTTGTTGTTGTTGTTGCTGTCCTCGACGAGCACCACGGCCGAGGAGGAGGAGGAGGAGGAAGGCTCGCCTAGCCCCAGCAGGCAGAGCTGGTCCAGGGCGAGCTGCAGCGCCCGGTCATCCTCGAGCAGCGCTCTCTCTTTGCCGCTCCCACCGAAACAGCCTAAATCGCCGAAACCGCCGTTCCTTTCCATTATCCCTGGTACTACCAAGCTAGGCATGGCTAACAAAGACTTGAGAGGGGGGTTGGGTGCTGGTGGTTGGTTGGGGA